GCATTGTTGCCTTCTTTCATCCCAGCAGCTGTATGTCTGTGTCTGCTTTGCTTTGGTGCACACAGACCTGTGCATGTCGCCGTCTCTCTCTCTCTCTCTGTGTGTGTGTGTGTGTGTGTGTGTGTGTGTGTGTGAGAATGGTCTCTCACCTCTTGCCCTTGCCATGCGCCATGCACACGTTGACACCCTCTAACTTACCGCTCTATATGGGCCCACCCGGGGGACACCCTATCCTCTCTGCCTCTGTGTTTATCGAGCAGACACTCAATACCACCCCCCCCCCCCCCCCCCCCCCCCCCGTATGTGCTATAGGCAGAGGGGGACCCTGTTTCTATCCCCCACCGTGGGGACCACGGTGGGGGCCGTCTGTTGGCCAGGTTGTGTGAGGGACACGGTTGCCTCCGAGCAGGTGTCCGGTCCTCGGGACAAGCGGGTTGCACAACATCCCTTTCATCTCCACTGTCTCTCTGGAGTGGATGCTCCAGAAAACATGGCAAGAAAAAAAATAGAATTATACTGCTGGCAAGCGATGTATGCTGGTTGCTTTTATCTGTGACATCTTTGATGTACGCCTCATGGAAGTAAGACCAAAAAAGAAAAACACCTCGATTTGTATCACAGTTTATTACATTTGTCTGTAATGAAGCTTATTTTTAGTTGGTGGCATGATGCCAGTTTGTCATAACTTTAAACATACTAGAGCAAGTTAAGCACTTCTGGTAGATTGTTGACCACGTTACATACGTCAACATGTTCCAATATCAGTGAACAGTTTCATATCTTTTGTATTTTAAGGTCGACCGATTCGACATAATAAAGATAGTTTGGAGCAGCAAAAAGCCGATAGGCGATTATTCGGCTGATTACCGCTGTTGCGCATTGACATTGTTAAAAGGCACCCTTACAAACCATTAAAGGGACATTTCACCCCAAAAATCCAATCTAGATTGTTTTGGTGTGAGTTGCCTAGTTTGGGATTCATTGGCCATAACGATGTCTGCCTTCTCTTCATTATGAAGGAACTCTGCTTGCTGTTTAAAATCGTCTTTGTACACACAAACACCTGACCTCTGTATTTAACCCATCCCAAGCATTTAGGAGCAGTGGGCTGTTGTGACGTGCCGGGGAGCTACTTGGAGTTCAGTCAAGGTCTCGCTCTGGGACACTTTGACATATCATACATACACACACTGTCTCTCTCCAGACGTCATGACCCACTTTCTCAAGATAATCCACAGACCTTGATGAGAGCAGTTTCATGTAGGAACTATTTTCTTTCAACCATAGCTCTTACATGAAACTGCTCACACCAAGGTCTGTGGATTATCTTTGAGTAACCGGGTCATTATTTCTGCAAAGAGAAATTGCTGTTGAGCACCACAGGCTGCGTGTCATCTCGTCCCATTATATTCAAGAGAAGGCAGACATCTCTACAGCCAGTGTCTCAAACACTCACAGCATTTTAGATGTATGGGGTGAACTGTCCCTTTAAAATTTGGTGAAACTCAAGCAGCTGCTGGAAGTCATGATTCTCATCATACATTTGGGAAATAACAGCAACAAACTGTGTGAAAGTATCTGCTGTAAAATATCTACTCATTTACTTTGTGGGTTTTTCTTTTGACTCGCAGTCAAAAGAAAGAAATGACCATCAGACTGAGAAAAGGAACAAAATGTTAACAGCTTTCAGGGACAGTCGCCTACTAAAAATGTCAAGCAGTGATGAATAGCATAGATGACTACAAATATTCTTTATATTGTATTTTGGGGTGAACTGTCCCTTTAATTCAGCGAATATAATAATCAGTAAAAGCAAGCAAAATAAAGATGAATACAAGCAGTGACTCAAATGAAGAAGCTCCTGCGTGCCGGATTCAGTCAGGCGGAGCAGGACCAAGGTGACACCGTCCGGGACAGAGAAGCAGGACAGTGGATGTCGTCTCCGCCTCGCCCTCCTGTCCCGACCGTGTCTTTTGGCAGCCTGCCGCTGCAGTCTGAACTTTGCTAATTCCCTGTTTGGAGTGAGCATGGTCTAATTTAGAACAGAGCGGCTCTGTTCATCCCAGAGAGCTGCTGCTGCTGCTGCTTCTGGGATTCTGTAAATGAGGGAGTTCAGAGGCTCTCCGCCCTCACACATGCCTTGTTATCAACCCACAGAGCAGCGCATAATGATCCTTCCAAGCATTAGCTCCTAATGCAATAAAGGGCCAACATTTTAGCCGTGCCCTCCAGCGCCTAAGGGTAACGAAGTTAGCCCGCGGGGTTGCACAAATGTGCTCTGCCATAAACACACGTGTTCAGGGTGCATCGATCAAGCTCCGCGGCCGTGGAGGAGAATATAACGACCCACACAGGCAGTCAAGCTCTGGAGAATCTTAAGAGGGATGTGTGGGAGCATTCTAACGTGGCTTTGCAAGCATCCAGTGCATGAATAAATCAGCGAAGCGGCATTGGCCTTGTGCACTAAGCAAAAGCAATAAACCTGCCTACGAGTCTCTCAGGAATTGGATCTCATCTAAAATAACACCCATTTATTAAACATGATCTCCTGGCATAGCTCAACAAATCTACAGACAGCATGCAGATTTAGAAAAAAGACACGCTTGTGCCAGGCGGCGTCAGTCGGATTGCAGCAGTGAGCTGGGACACAGTGGCCCTGTGGGCTGGTTGGAATGCACTTGGCAGACAAACAAAAAGTGGCCTTGATGAGTCAAAAAGGAGAGGCAGAGTGTGTTACCGTGTTGATGCAGAACATGAGCCATGACGACAAAGGATTCCTTTTGATATCTCAAATATCTGAAAAGCATCGCTGAAATCAAATGCATTTTATTGCAGAACTGAAAGCAGAGCTGACACGATAAGTCAACTAATAGATGAGTCAGACAACTGCTCTAGAGATGGAAAACGTAGATCACTCGTCTGGTCCACCATTTTGGTCCGGACTGAAATATCTCATTTACTTGATGGATTGGCACAAAATTTGGTTCAGACATTCATGGTCCCCAGATGATAACCAGTGAAATATCTCAACATCCATCAAATGGATTGGTGCAAAATGTTGTAAATATATATATATATATATATATATATGGCTGGCATCTATGGACGGTAACGTATTCAATCATCCCCAAGTACTTTACCTGCAAACATCAGCATGACCAGAACACGTCGCTTCATTTCTGTAACGCGTCAAACTATAATGCTCCACTTCGGTCGCAGTAAATCTCGATTAACCTTGTGAGTTCAAACAAAAACACTTGCTTAGGTTTAGGCAACAAAACCACTTTGTTAAGTTTGAGAAAAACATCATGGTTAGGCTTAAAATAAGTCTGTAAAATATGCCAAACGAAAAAAAGGAAGACACATACGTCACACACCCCACTTTGGGCCATGAACACTATAGTCTCAAACATTAACCTCCTGGTTGAAAATCCTGTATTTGTTTTTCTGGATCCAGCTTTTCCAATGTGAGAATTTGCTGCTTTTCTTTGAATTATGATTTTTTTGTAATTATTGTGAATTATTGTGTTTTGGAGTGTTGTTTGAACAAAACAAGACATTTGAAGACCGTACCATAGGTTTCTATGATATATATATGTTTTTTACATAATCCTCTTATTAATGTACCACTGCTGTATTGTGTGATTGAATGAATACAAACCATAATTGGCTAACCCCCGCGACGAGACACTAACGGGCTGTAAGAGGTCTTAAAACATTTCATTCAAACTCAAAAACAAGCAGCGATGGATGCAGTCAATCGGCAGACACCTCATACAATCTTCTCAAAGACTAAATGAAACTCACCAAGGTGTCTGCTCGCTTAGCGGTAGCTGAGTGGCAGAGAAGTACATCAGTGTGTGTACTGGTAGCTTTGTTAGTTGTTAGTCGTTTCCCCCCCACTGTGTCTCTGGCTGCAGAGTGGCGATGCACTCAGCTTCGTTATCACAAGCGGCTCCTACCAGCTGGTTAAGAGTAGTATGTTAAAAACATATGAGGACACTCCTCTTGCCTTTAACTTCTGCTCATCACGCAGCATCTACTCTGCAGCTATAGTTATGCATCACATATACATCTATCTACTTCCCCTGTCAAGAGGAAACACGAATGATTCCATGAACTAAAAATACACATCACGCTGACACTGAGCCGCCAGGTGACTCGCACATTAATCATCATACCTTATGTGGTCCGTCACATTACTGACAGGCACGTAGGCACATTGTCATTCTGGGATCGGCACAGATGCTCCTCGTTTGCTCTCACGGTATAAATCCTGCCCTTAGAAGCGTTTCTTTACTGTGATGGAGCAGATAGAAACCAGGTCCCCAAAGAAACTCCAAACATTTTACAGTTTTATAAGAACTGTTTGGAATTCAATTTGATTAACTTTGCACTAAACTCACGCCACGCTCTGCTGGCAGGAAATTTCATTTTTTGTATTATTATTATTATTAATTTTTTTATCCAATTTCACAAATCACTCAACTCACTCTGTGAGAAACTGTTCGTCAGTTAATGGAGACGCACAGATAGTGCGTTAGTCATCGATGGCCGCCCACAGACTGTCAGGAGACGCAACCTCGCTGACACTGCTGGTGCTTCTGGTCAATACGCTGCACACTCGACGGTCTTCTTCATTATGACTTAGTTATGAATCACCGTCGATAGTACATCGACCTCAAGCTGATGAAGTTCCTCATTTCAATGTTCTTTCAGAGGCCTTTGGTGTGAAGGTATAAATGTTGCATCTATGCACATCTGAACGTCTGTGCTCTCTTGGAATTCAGTTAACAACAACAGTTAGATACAGTTTAAGCACAACAACAACACGACTGTTAGTTTAACAGTGGCATAATGTCAGTGAAGTTCTCGTGTTTGTGCAGATGAGCTACATCGTGAGTGCAAACAATGAATGCATACGTTTGTGACTTGATCCACACGTTTCTTTGGCAAACAACCGCCAATTTTAACTTTGCGTCGTTCTTTTTCTCTCTCAGAGCGGCAGTGAAGGACCTCGGAGAGCCGGAGAACGAGCGCTGGCCCTCGTTTGACTGTGTGACCAGCGGATGAGCCTTGTTCATGCGTCTCCCTGCGAGCCACTCCCACATCACCATGAACTGTGAGCAGGACTTTGCAGACGGGGGCTTGGGAGTGACCCTCACACTACGACTGCTCATGCATGGAAAGGTATACGAGCTCACGCTGTGTACGAATGATGGAAGAAGTTAATGGGGCTTTCTTGAGCATAAGATTGGTCAGCGTCTCATGAATGTATTTAGTTTGTAATTACCTTCTTCTCTTTGTATTCTAGGAGGTTGGCAGCATCATAGGAAAGGTGAGAATTACCTTTTTAAAATGATTCTACACAAAATACTACATATATGTATGAAGGTATTAATCATTTGGCAGATGTTTTTGACTGATTGGGATGAATCTAATGTAAATGTATATTTATTTTCTATTGATCTAAGCCAGGGGGCATCAACTACATTTGTTCAAGGGACAGAATATGTTTGCGGAAACTCTGAGGGTCGGACTTTCAAAAAATACATTAGGTTTAATTAGCCTATTATTGTTTGATATTTTCATTTTCTTACCGAATTAATGTATTTTCATTTGCCTATTTCAGTGTAACTCCTAAAAACATGGGAACTCCACAATGATAAACATACTTAACTGCACTCAGACATCCGGCAAGGAGGGAGGGCTGTCCTCAACTAAACAAATTCTAGATCTTCAAACGGAGTTTCTCCAAAAAGAATCACACAAAAGATCCACTTTAAATGTTGTTTACTAGACATGTGTTCATAAGTTTCTTGTCAACAAAGCATTAAAAACACTGAGACGAAAAACGACAGATTAGTCCAGTTTTGACGATCAATAAGTAAGTGTCCTGATTGGTGGAGAACGCTCACAGGAAGAACAGTGTTTAACTTGTCAGATCAGGTTTAGGTAAAGTCACTCTCAAAGATCATGAAGAGAAAAGTTGATGTGGAAACTCGCAGCTTTAGTGAAGAATGACCTGATAAATGTGCATTCATCTCGCCAACTTTCAGTCAACCTTTATGCCTCGTTTGCAGAGGAATGCAAAAGGCGTCACCTTTACAGAAGACTTTAGATACAGCACAACCCACATTACATTCAGAAAAGATGGGAATTTGTTTCAGCTACACCTGCCGGCTGCTATTCAGTGAACAACCAGCGACGCAAGCACAGCTTTGTGAGTCCAGTGGGCCCGACTCCTGCATCGGGTTGTGTCTACTCGCCAATAATAAGCTGATAGATTTATAATGTCTTTAGTGACCGCGGATATCATGTCATAGATTTGGGGTTGCTAAATCATTGCTAGACAATGTATTCCCAATTGTTTTAAGGTTTGCTTCAATGTAGGGATTAAAAAAAAGATATCCACACATTTTCTGAATTCATTCATAGTCGTGGGAGAGGAATCCCTCCTCAGTTCTTTATTTTTTCCTCGTTTTTTTGGAGAGTTTGTCCTTTTCCAATGCGAGGGTCCAAGCACAGAAGATGTTGTATAACATCCTTTGAGGCAAATGTGTGATTCATGATGAGCTATACATCTGATCGCCTGATTGGCCACCAGTTGTCGATCACTGGTCTCAGCCATATACCTTATTGATGCCTTTTCTGTGGATTCATAATCAGTCTTTGCGGAATATTTTTCTTCTAACAAAGAAAATTCTTGTTTTTAGAATGTCCCATCCTAAATGTAATTGCATTAAACCAAACCCGCCGCCGCCACCACCCGCACCCATATAGCTCTCCCCCAAAGAATCCATCAAACAAAAGCATCAGTGCATCGACTGCAAGCCTCCTGCTGACACCGAGCACCAAAGACATATTACCGTCGGTCCCTTGTGGGCACTTAAAGTGTCTGTTAGGACGGGCCTGGCTCCTCTGGGCTGCACCAGTAGCTCCAGCTAGCGCGCCCTTTGTAATACAACACCAAAGACACCGATGGAAGACGAGGAAAACAAATGCAGAAAATAAAGTGTGCTGGGAAAGAAGTCACCGTGGATGCCGCAGTGTGTTGCAGAAATTAAAATATGTAAAAGAAAATAAGGGAACGGGAAGAGAGACGAGCTCGACACACACAGAGAGACACACACACACACACACACACACTGTGCAGCTCGACAGAGGGAGGCACTTGATCTGCAGTACTCGGACTAATGACTCGCCACTCCGTCTCTTTGCCAAACCTCTCATGTTTATCTCATCGATAGAAGGCCGACGCCAGAATCACAATGCGCCACATAGAATACGCCTTCCTGCAATAAAACATGAAACAGAGTGAAGCCCAGTGAGCGAGATGATACAGCTTTTGATCGTCAGTGGATGCACACGAACTTGTGAGCAGAGCTGTGACAGCTTGGATGGACTTAAGCCAAAAAGGAAATGGAGGGGGGGGGGATCTTATAAACCAGCAGAGGATGGGCTGCGGCGTGACACAAGTCCGACAAAATGTTTTTGTCCCCAGCAGGAGGTCCTCACACACACACACACACACACACACACGCACACACTGCATATGCAGCCATACAGCAGGTGTACGTCCCGATGTGTCTGGTTGTTCTCTGAGACAGCAGTGCGGGGGACGCCGCTGCGATGCGTCGCGCATTTGAAACCCGAGCTGCAATTTGCTCCGCTAAATTCCAATCAGACTTTCGTGGTTCGACATAGCCGGTTTCACTTAAGCGGTCGAGGACGCCGTGATGTCTCAGACAGAGCACACGTGATTCTGTTTAAAGCTGTCCTTCAACTTCTCTTTCACAGAAAGGAGAGACGGTGAAACGAATACGAGAAGAGGTAGGCCTACTGTGTCCACGATTTTGACTTTTCATCATCTTCATCAGTGATGCTTTGTGCTGTTTGATTTTGTGTTTTTTTTGTGTGTGACTATAGCTGTCAGTAAAGCTTAACACAAGACAAGGAACGACCACATCTCTCTGACCACAAGCCGGTTCATGTCAAGAGAAAACATAATTCTATCTCAGAGGGCCTCCTTTCAGTATGCATTAATAATAAACGCAGAGCTCGGACATTGTCCGAAATGCCTTTTGGGCAATAACGGCACCTTTTCAATTTAAATCCTCATTCACTTCCCCTCTTCTTGCTGCTCTCCCACCAAATCCTTCTTTTCCTGCTTGAAAACAACTTCATTCTTCTCTGTGTGCTCCTGCGTTACCTCTTCTTTTCTTTAAATCTCAAGGGTGCAACCAAACTAATGCCGCTTGGTTAACTCTTTGTATTGAAGAAATAATTGGGCTGACACTGTGGCAGTTCATTTGATTCTTTCCCCGGCTGCTGAGGTTTTACGTTGTACTTTTATGGATAAACGGAGGAACAGCGAGGTCGTGGGACAATGCAGCCCTGCAGAGCTGCTGGATGAACCACTCGCTCATGGTAGTCAGTCATCCATTCATCCAGGAGCCAGTTTTGGCCTTTTGTTACTTCACCACTGCACGAGCCTCTTCCTGTCAGGACCTTCCAGTCACAGTGGGAGCATGACTCACTGGAGTGACTGGAGAAAACATTGCCCCGGCTCCAGAGCGCCGTCCGTCCGCTGATCACGTGACTTCGACTCAAGGACACGGGAGAGGAGGGCAGGAGATTTGTCATCCGAGGCCAAACGCCCCGAGACGAAACTATTACATTGTCAGTCTGAGATACAGAGATGTGCTCTCGGTTTCTCCTCACCCTCCCTCCCTCCCTCGGGTGTGCTGGCTGTACTGCTTCACACGAACGATGAGCTGTACGCGATGGTACATAATATTTATAGAGTATTATAGAGTGTAGATTAATGAAAAACAACTACTACTTTACCTCCTGCCGTGTTCTGTTCAGATCACAGTTACTATGGCTGGTAAAGTCATATACAGTAGATCCATCCAGCAAAAGTCACCACATTGAGAAGGAAACACTAATGACGTCGGGCGCTTATTTGCTCAGAGTTGAATTTTTTTCAGCTTGAGGCGCTCCTTTAAAAACGCAAAGTCCTCAGCGCCGCAAAATGTGGATCTTTCAGATCAGTTTGAGGAGTGACTCTGGTTTGAATGCTCCAATCGAATACTGTAAGTGTGTCATGCAGGGCGGGACTTAACTTGGTCTCAACACCTCAAAGTTTAAGTGGTCTTGACTGCAACACTGCAGTTAGCTTAGCTTAGCATAAAGACCAAAAGACGGGGGCAACAGCTAGCCTGGCTATGTCGAAAGCCGAGTAAAAATCTGCCTACCAACACCTCCAGTCGTTTTCACATTCTGTGTTTTATAAAGATGAAACATGAAATATAAGGTGTTAATTAATAAGCTTTAGAGGTGATGGTAGGTGGATTTTTTGTTTTACCTTTGGATGTTGCTGTTTCCCTCCGTTAGTATGTTTATAAAGATATATACATACACACACACGTACAATAATCTACTAATATTTCATTCATTTGTTACTCGTTTCCTTTTTCTTGTAATTCAAGACATTTATGAGATGAGGTTTCCTTATTTTAGCATAAAACAGCTAGCCAGCTATGTCCAAAGGTAACACAGTAACAGGTACTTAAGGTTACTAAATAAACTAGTTATATCTCACTTGGGTCATCAGCACCAGAACAAAGTGTAAAAACAACCAGTTGTGGTTTTATGAAGGGTGCTGGGAGGTGGATTTCACTACATTTGGACAGAACCAGGCTAGCTGTTTGCCCCGTGATTCCAGTCATTATGCTAAGCTAATCTAACAAGCTGCTGGCTGTACAATAGCTTTGTATTTAAAAAGGACAAAGAGTGATATCGATCTTCTCATCCAACTCTCTGCAAGAAAGCAAATAAGTGTATTTTGCACCAAAAAAACCCGTCAAACTCTTGTGTTAATGTTGACCTTTAACTGACCTCTGTCCCCACAGAGCAGCGCCCGGGTCAACATCTCAGAGGGCTCCTGTCCGGAGAGGATCATCACCATCACCGGCTCCACAGACTGCGTCTTCAGAGCCTTCACCATGATCACGTACAAACTGGAGGAGGTAGCTGTAACTGTGCTGCACGCCACTCATTAGCAGTGAAATCAGCTCATGTCGTCATGTCCCATAAACAGAGAAAAACAATCCGGGTGCGACGTCATATGTGGCAAGCTTTCAGACGTCTTTGTGGAGCCAAAAACCCCCAAAAACGATTTTACAACTTACAAGAAAGCATTTCCTGAGCTCTCAACATTACCGCTTATGTGCTTTTATCGCTATCGATTATATTCTAAAGTGAAGAGACGGAGGGCAAAATGTTAGCTTTCAGACACGATCACACTGCAGATGAAGATTTGGTGTAAGTAGTTTGTTGTAAAACCATTTTCGACTTTTTTGATAGAAAATGATGTACGATAACTTGTTAGATTACATAGCCGTTTGTTGGGGCATCCACCCATCAATCAATCAAGTGTTATTCATAAAGCACCTTTTAATCAAATGAAATGCAATTCAAAGTGCTTTACAAATGATTAACTATACGAAGAAAAGAGAGACGGTGAAGAGACTAATGCACACCGAATAAAGTTAAGAAAAATAAATGTATCATGGTAAAACAGTGAAATAAAGCAACATAAAATAAGAAATAAAAACACGTGTACCTACTAAAAACACTATCGAACCAGGCGGAATAATATGGCATAATAATACAAAAATGATAAAACACTACATAAAAGCCAGACTGAATAGATTTGTCAGGGCCACGTGATATAAAAACAACATATGTTCAGTCCTCTCATACAAAAAGTACAAATCATGCTAATTTGTACCTGTAAATTAGGAGGATGTATAAACCTCGTCATCATCTATAATGAGTTGTGGATGGCAGGTTCCTCCTGCTATTAACCCCCCGCGGTGTCTGTCCATCACTGCCTTAATGAACGTGTTGGAATGCCGTCTTCTCTCACATTTAGCATCACAGTGAGACTCTGCGCTCAGCACACACACGCGCTGGCTGGCAGCACAGTGCAGCATTCATTAGAAGCTCTTTCGCACCCACCTCTGTTCCCGACCCCTCAAACTATTTGAGTTTCCAAGGCAACGCGTCGGCTGACCCACACCGCGCGCCGCTTCCACCGCAGCTGAGTTATTGTACGCGCGACACATTTAATTAAAAACAAAAAGGGGAATAATCTGCTTTTTGTTGGAGTATCAGACTGTCTCAACATAGTCACACGAGTTCTTTCATTTGACAGTTCATCGCTCGTGCGAGCTTCCGTCTGTGTTTTAATGGAGGAAGTTGTCACCGACTGTAGCCGCGAGAGTGCAGAAAACGTTCATGCAAATGAGGCGCTGTGATAAGCTGAGAGGAACGCATTCTACGGTGTCGAGGCGCAGCATGCATGCAAAGCCACATAATGTGTCTGCGCTGGGAGTCCGTATCCCACAAACAACACAATATGAGGATTACAGCAACTCTTTGTGTGAGAAGTGCTCGTGTGACGCGCCGTCTTATTTCCTCTTATTCGCTTTGAGGTTGTTTTTTTTTTTCAAACACAGAGAAGTAAGGGAACGTTCACAGTTGTTAAGGCTCATATGTTTAGATCAAATCAGGAAAATGAAGCCCAGAGCCTGATTGTGCAGACGAGCCGCTCTTCTAATGAGACGAGACGTCAGAGAGCCTCCCTAAATATAGACGCGGAGCAGAGAGGCGCGAGAGCCGCGTCACAGGATGCTTTTCAAACGTGGCGTTCACAGTCGTTGGAAAAGCTCCGTGAAGGTGACGCGTGCCACGCTGTCCCTTCTTAAGTCACACTAAAAGCAAGCAGCGGGCTTTGCCTTCTGTTTTGTCGTGGGTTGAACTCTGATGGGAAGAGGGACAGCGCAGCGTATTTACATCTCAAAAGGCTCGCAGAGACACGCTGCTCATTCATTAAAAGCTCAATCTCCACCCACAGGAGAGCAGGCACGGGACGTTTGCTTCCTGCTCAGTAAAAACATCGACCATAAAGCAGGGTATGCTTTAGGGCGGGGCTACTGTGATTGACAGGTTTCTACCAGAGATATATACAGCGTCTCTACATCACTCTTACATATAGTCTAAATACCGTCGCTTCTGTTCACTGGTTGCAAAAAACCAAGATGGCGACGGCAAAAACGCTGAACTCGAGGCTTCAAAGAAGCTGTCCACCAACCAATGGATGACGTCACAACGACTACGTCCACTTCTTATATACATATTGAATATATATACATATATAATAGAGTTTATGGTTGATGTGGTAGAATGGCTACTTTGGGATTGGTTTGTCCCAACTCAGACACTGCTTTGCTCTTCATAGTTTTGCATTTCGAGGTATAAGTGCACATGGTATAATTGGGGAGATTTTAATTTCACAAATGTTCTACTGTTTGATTCCCAGTATTGAAAACACTCAGCAAAGCAACTTAATGAGTAAGGACTATGGATACAAATGTAAAGTGTGCTTATATGAATATGAATCCTAAATTGGCCGATAAAGTGAAGTGGTTTCAAATTCAAAGCCTCTTCAGTCCTAATGGAGATAAAACCCTCCAGTGGCTTTTTTTTCTCCCCCCATTTCCACCTTGACCCCTGCTGTCTGATCATTCCCACGGGGACTCTCTCTCTCTCTCTCTCTCTCTCTCTCTCTCTCTCTCTCTCTCTCTCTCTCTCTCTCTTTCATTCCTGCCGACTCTCACCACATTTGTTTTCATCTCCCTCCAGGACCTGAATGCCCTGGTGGCCAACGGCACCATCAGCTCCAAGCCACCGGTCACCCTGCGGCTGGTCATCCCTGCCAGCCAGTGTGGCTCTCTCATCGGGAAGGGAGGGGCCAAGATAAAGGAGATCAGAGAGGTAAGCAGCCAGAACACAAATCCACCCCATCCTCCCCGCCCTTGCTGCACGGACTGGCCGAACACTGAAATTTGAAGAGAACAGCTGGAAGGGAGAGATATTTCATTTTCCGCAATTCTGCTGTTGTTTGTTGTTTTGTTTTTCCCCTGCTGCGTTTTGTGCCACATTAATGTAAGTCCTCCTGTTTACACCGATACATTTTAGGTATGCTCTTAATCAGTATCGCAGTATAATTCAGTTAGAAAGGTGGTGATCACATTCATCTACAGCAAGAGAATGGTATGAAGTAATAACGCTAGAATACAAAGTATTGCTAAGTGGAAGGCTCAGGGTAGGCCTTTTTGAACAGGTGAGTTTTCAGCCTGCGCCGAAAGATGGGTAGCGACTCTGCTGTCCTGACGTCAGTGGGGAGTTCATTCCACCACTGTGGGGCCAGGACAGAAAACAACCGCGACCGGGTCGATCGGCCGCAGGGACCTCTGAGCAACGGGGCAACCGATCGGCCCGAGGCAGCAGAGCGAAGTGGTCGGGCAAGGGTGTAGGGCTTGACCAAGGCCTGCAGATAGGAAGGAGCTGTTCCTTTCAGCTGGTTACGTTAAAATCTCTGTAGCGTGTGTTAAACACAGAGCTTATTTCAGGTATCTAACCAAAAACGCTTTAAAAAAACACTGACTTTGAGGGGAGGGAACCGGAACTGCAAAAATGCTGACTCATTTCTGTGTTGTAGGACTCATTCGTGCAGCACTTTCATGAGCAGAAAACACAAAAAACAGCTGAGGCTGATGGGAATGTCATTAGTTTTGTAGGTATTTGATGATCAAGCGTTGCACAAGTTACATTTTTGACCTGAAAAGGCTGCTAGCGGAAAAATCAGGGGATCACCAAAGTCATTAGGGTTCATCCTCTGGGCACCGTGACTTAACAGAATTTCATGTCAATCCATCTAATAGTTGCGGCGATATTTCCGTCTGGACCAAAGTGATGGTATCTGCACTTACATGTAGGTTGGCACCAGCACAATAATGGATATAGGCCATTAAGGCAGGAAATTAGTGAGACAATGCTGTCTGGATCGATCACTTAACCCAACAAACATTATGACTAAGCAGTGGCAACTTTGAAAGGGGAAAAACTCCTGACTACATTTAGTCCCAGTTGAAACAATAGGATTAAAAGGCGTCACATCTGTTGCCAGAGACGATTGACACTGTAACTTTAGCTCTGTACCGATCTACAAATAGAGTCGCTCTAATTTTACCTTCGCCGACAAACGGCATCCAGCTGATTTTTCTGCGGTTAGATGGATTTTCGAGCCGTGTTTATCGCCCAAATTGGTTTCGGTTACAGATTTGTTTTGTCTTGTTTGGTTGCCACAGGACACACGCTTACTCACAGAAGCATTTTGAGATGCGTGTTGTTCAACAATGGCGTCCAAAAAAACTCAGCATACATCTTTAAAAGCAGTCCTCCTCTCCTGCAGTCGTGCTTTATTGGGAATATATCAGCTAGAATTGGGAAAAGATACGTCTGCTGACCGTGGGTGACTTTTCATTTATCTCTAACCTGTCACAGCTCGACGTTAAACACACCACAGCACGGTCGGATCTCCCGTCAGTATCGGTTTAAAAACATAAGGTCAGGAAAGCCATCAGGGAGGCACGGATAGGAGAGTAATAACGACTCGTCTTATCTCTGGAATCAAACTAATCTGTTCCTCTTTAAAACCCCTATCATTTTGCAGAGCACTGGAGCTCAGATACAGGTGGCGGGGGATTTGCTGCCCAACTCCACTGAGCGAGGGGTGACGATATCTGGGAATCAGGAGTCTGTAATCCAGTGTGTCAGGCTCATCTGCACAGTAATCCTGGAGGTAGGAAGAGCACGATTCCTCTCTTCACTCCACACCTACAGCTGACACATTGTCGGAGCTCTGCAGCTGCAGCTGCATGAAGGGAATTATTGCTGTTGACGTGCATGTATTAATTTCACCAGTATGCAGTTTTTTGTCTATTCCGCTGCAGAAGAAGTTAATGCATTTTGAGTATGCTGCGTTGGCCTTCTTGTGTTATGAAACTGTGTGTCGGTAGCATTATCTTCATATAACTTAGGAAACATGAAGGAAGTGTGCAGCTATTTCACTGTTTTGAGCGGTTTGAACTGCCGGGGCGAGACAAAAGAAAGGTGCTGCTCTCAGGTCAGAGCTCAGTGTTGTTTGGAGAGGACACTGAGACGCTTCCAGGAAACAAACTGGCCTGCAGCAAAATCCGTCCACCTTTAGACAACGGCTCTCTTGAGAAAATCGAGGAGATGCGATGAGAGACAGAAAAAAAAAAAAGAAAACAACCCCAAGCACAGTTTCTCCCTGTGTGTTCGTGGAAGTGCACAAGTCCTTTTTGTTTTAGCGCTGCAGCTGGACCTGACTGACTAATTGCTAGTTTGATCCAGTTTTCCAGGGCTTTCTTCAAAGGCTTGCGAGTTTCATTAGGATTCTGTACCAGCGGCTTCTCGCTTTTGGCTCCGAGATTTAAATTATGCAAAGTTATACAAAGAATTTGCTATGACTGCTCCCGCAGAAAAGATGCTCCACATTCCGAAAGCTGAAACTGTATCGGCAACATTGCAGTGACTCGATAAGATATACCGTGTCATGTACTCTGGATAATCTCCTTTTCTCATTGGTGTTTGAAGAATTTTATCTTCAAATGTCTCCTCGTCCGTGGATGCTTGATTTATCCAGAGGGAAAACAACTGCAGCTCCGAAGCAAACTAAAGCTCAGAGCCATTATCAACAAAGAGCTCTCGCTGCACTGCTTCAATAATTCAATGAATGACTAATATTATCAAAAGGAAAACAAGGAAGGGAATAATGTCAGTGTCATTAGCAGTTTAGTTCATCATTAAGTGTTATTGTATCTTAATGTACCAAAGAGTTGCGCACCATTTGCACTTAGTGTCTCGCTGTTTGACAGAAGTGCTGTTGTCATTTCGGAGTGGATGTGAGAGTTTGTTCACGTCCATGAGATTTATGATGAAGATGTTGTTTTTTAAGCCTCTCGTCTTGTTTTTGACTACTCAAGTCTCCCCCGAAGGGCGCTACCATCCCCTACCGACCGAGCCCCTCACCAGCTGCCCTCCTCATCGCAGGGAACCAGGTGAGAGATTTTGACCACACATGTTGGGAGGATTATCTATGATGGACTGGAACCGTGGTTCTCTATGCAGGCGTATTTGGGCAATTGGAGGTTAAAAAAAGAAATCATTACATTACATTTTTTTTTCTTTAAACCAGTGATAGGAATTGATTTTATTTGGAATGCTGAGGAATAACTCAGCGAATACGCCTCTGGTAGAGACCTGTCAATCACTGTGTAGCCCCGCCCTAAAGCATCCCCTGCTTTATGGTCTGTGTGACTCTAAATGGACCATAATGTACTAAATGAACATCATGCTGTATTGAAGAAGACTTGAAACTAAAGATTGAGACCATAAACCCATGTTTACAATGTTTACTGAGGTAATAAATCAAGAGAGAAGTAGAGTCATTTTCTCATAGACTTCTATACAACCAGAGGAGTCGCCCCCTGGTGGACATTAGAGAGAATGCAGCTTTAAGATACTTCCTCATTGGCTTCACTCTTCATAACCGGAGATTGCCACACGGTTACAAATCAAAGTTGAAAGACATTTCACTCTACAAATGTCAACCTGGTAGTGGGTGGGGGAATGAGTGGTTCGAGACGCTGCTGTTAGAGAAGGGACAGATATCCTCCCTCCCTCCCACGGAGCAAGTCACAAGATTAGCAAGCGAGACTGGAGGCCTGCCGTCTCCTCCGAATGCAGTCAGATATTCTGCATAGCTGTCAGCAGTTCTGACGCCTTTTGTGCTGCCTCAGACTCTGGTCAATTTACAGAATGGCTTTGTGTATTTGATATTACCCATAATAAGCTATCAAATTAAACCCGCAGCGAGGTCCTGGTCACCGGGAGATGGCTTTTAATGAAGGCAGCACAGCGATAAGGGATGTTTGTATAATTGGTCAGGGGAGAAAATGAAGTGGAATGGGGAAAGGGACTGCAGATGAGTCATGGCCCATAAGCCTGTTAGGTGTGTTGAAGTGTCAGAAATGCAGCCTCAAGAGCCCACCGCAGACCAAATTTGATCTGTAGTGAAAGAGCAGGGGGGAAAATGAAATTGGAAGTTTTTATTCATTATTTTTTTTACATGGAGGGTTCTAGCTGGTAAGAACACATTTAAACTCAGTAATCATCACAAAATAACGTGTCTGGACTTCATAAACATGAAGATATTTCAGTAATGAGCTGCACATTTTTCCATTTTTGTGCTTCCCTCGTGTGTTTGCAGGTGTACGAGGCGTCCGACTTTGCACCCCACCCTCTGTACTCCGTCACCCAGGGAGGCCTGGACCTCCAGCAGGTAACTGGAATAATCTCCATTCTTCTAAATATATAAAAAGATACCTCCAGAAGCTGCTCTTCAGCTGCATTGCAGAGGGCAGGAATGGGTTTTCGGGGGGGTTGTGAGGATCTGAAGGTTGTGCGGTATGTCCAAATTTACACAGTCCATCATCTGGCCTGAGGCATTTAAAAGAACAGCTGAGCGTTAAAGCTGCAGCTATTGTTCTACCCCGTCTGAAGAGCTGTAACCCCTCCTGAAACTCGATGCCATCACACACCACCAGTCTCTTTTTTTAGTCCTGCCTCGCTCTGCACCAGAAACATTTCGGCTTCAGGAGTATTCCTCCCATGGCAGCAATAGCAGATACTCTCATTATATAAGAAACAGAAACAGCAGCTTCTGACAAATCAGCCCCAGATTGAGAAAAAGAAAAATAATCGTGGGTAATGTTATATCAAGACTTCAGGATTTAGATCACTCGTGCTGTAAATTGAAAGATAATTGCTGCTAATTTGTGGCGTTTCTTTGTGCTCTCCTGTACAAACAGCAGCTCTAATGCATTGTAATGGCCTCTCCCGTTTATGACCATATAAGATGCACTGGTAATAGAAGCCAGACAGCTGGCGTCAGGCAGAATTGAGTTAGAATAGATAGACAGATGGACAGATAGAAAATGAAGTTAAAGTAAGTATCTGTGTGGAGTGAGAGAGGGGAGGGGGGCTTAACATTTGGGAGTCTGCTTAAGATAATGGGTGGGTGGGGGAGGGGGGGTGAGGCAGCCAACAGGCAGGTTTGAACAAATAATTTGTTACAACACAAGAGATTAAAAACTTGAAAGAAAGAAAAATATTTGTAAGTATTAAAAGATTTTAGCAAATCAAAAAAAAAGGGTCAGGTCTCTGAAATTACAGCTGGAAACATTTCCCCTCGTTCTAGTGCTGGTTTTGAGATATTTTTTTTGAGATCGGCCCATTGTCACCGATACCCAATGCAGCTATCTGCGTCAGTATCGGACTAATCTCTATAAACACATTCACAGGTAGAATCTGTAGACGAGGCAATATTTTGATAGCGGTCTGGTTTGTAGTCTGAGTAGTATTGACCAATCGCGTTGGAGCAGGCTTTGTTTGAATGCAGGTAGACGGTCCTCGTGGAGAGCAAACGAGGCAGAACGTATTGGCCGAGATGTGAGCTGGGAACCCACTGGCTATCATCTGATCATGATTTGTAGCTTGTAAACTGGCTACGGTCGTACACGCCGTCTCTCAACTCCAGCCAGTTCAGCAATTGTTAGCAATACCAGTTGACAACAACGCATGATGGCGGTGTTTTGCACATTTTGAAGCACTGTAGCAACACAGATTGAAGCTTGACAGTACGATGTGCACAACTGATTTAACGAGACACAACTAAGACAGAAGTGCTAACAAACGGAATGTTACGACAGCTTGTTTGCTGCTTGTACGTGAAGCAGCCATCTTGGATTTTGAGGTCGGGGTTGGTGGGGTTCGTCCGACTTTTCTGTGGCAGAAATCCGACTTCGGGCGGCGTTCCAGTTGAAATTTCAGAAATTTAACACAGCACTAGAGGTCTAACGGAGTTAAACTTCTCTGTGGTCTATTTGAGTCAAAACATCAGTAACGTCACTATGTAGGATAACAAACATATACATCTCTTTGTCTGTGAATTACTTTTTTTGGCAAATAAAAATAATGTATTTGGCAATAGAACAAATAAAACAGGAAATGATTCAGTGTAAAAACAAGTAATTTATCCATTTCATCACCTTTGTCAAATATGTAAGCCAAGTTTAGCAAAGAAAGGGTACTTCAAGAGAAAACAATCCAAAGAAGTGGAACTGTTTGGGGAGGTAAAGGTTTATCAGGGTCGTCCAGCTCACAGGAGCTACTTAACAGTCCTAGAACTGTTCACACTGAGTTCTGTGGATTATTCGGAAAGGGATACATCTCAAAGCCTGGACAAATCAGGAAGTGTGTTAAGCTGAACTACAAACGCTCATTTCTCTGCTTCTGAAAAACAAAAAAACATGCGTGTATCAACAGTGAAGCACTTCCATTAAGAGGCTGCAGATGTATTGCCCGTGTGTGATGTTTTATTGCTGTAATTTACCTAATGCAGGATGCTCTCTTCGCAGGCCTACGCTTTGCAAAACCAATACGGCATTCCACACTCAGAGGTACAGCGTGACCATTTCAGGAAATATCATAAAGATGAGTAGTTTATGGTTTTAGTGCATTACGTTGTGCTTTCTGTTTCTTTACAGATGGCCAAGCTACATCAGCTGTCAATGCAGCAAGGCCTGAGTCCCATCGCCCAGCAGGCTGCGACTATCATGCCTGGTATGTAGAGCAGCAGTCTGCGTTTGCTCTGGATGATAAATCCCATAAATTAAGCAGCCGTCTCCGCTCCTCCGTCTGTAACTAGATTTTCAACCTGCCTTTAGACGTGAGAAATAAAAAGCTGGCAGTCGGGTAATGTGCTCGAGGTCAGTGAGGGGGGAGGAGACGAGGGTTTACAGCTCTCCATTATGCGAAATGATACGTTCCGCAGAGTCAGAGGACTGGGACACGGAGAAAAATGAGCGCCGTGTTAAACACCGGTCTATTAAAATGGAAATTAACTGCTTTATTATATCTAGCAGTTCCCCGCTCAAAGGGCTCCCCCCCCCCCCCCCCGCCTGGCATATCAGTGACAGTTTGTGTGGCTTCACTAAGTAAAAGGAGTTGAATGAATATTTAAATGTCATATGTCAATTTTGCTCAGTCGATGCTCGTCTTTTCTCTCTCTCTCTCAGGGATGGACTCCAATTGTCAGACATCTCAGGAGCTGCTTATTCCCAATGATGTAAGCAAGAGCAACTTTTTATTCCTCATGGTTTCTTGTTTTATCCCCCCCCCATCCATCCCCTCCTTCCGATCTGAACGACGAGAAAAAACAACAAGGAACTCGGCGCTGATGCACAGGAGCAGGTGATTTCGCGTGCGATAGCTGCGACTGCGGAGACGTCTGGTTGCGGCTTCAAAAAGAGACGAGAAACATGTCGGCAGCTTCCTAATTATCCTCATTATTCTAACCTCGGACTAACCCAAGGTTACAGGGATTCTGAGCCGATATGGATCCCTTTTCGCATTATTGTCGGGGCTGCAGTTGCAGTGTCTTAGAGTGGCTCCCATGGGTGCTCAGTAAATCCTCTCATGTTCCCTGACCTACTTAGAGGCTGTCTGCTGTCAAAACAGCCAATAAGAAAGCAGACGAGGATCCTCTCCCTCTTCACTTAGCCTCCGCCGGGGTTTGATGAAACGTCTCTCCAAATCTGAGCAGAAATCACGACGCAGAGATTCTCTTCAAAATAAAGTCGGGCTACATTTAACCTTCAGATGATCCCTGTAGTATTTGGTTTGGATGGTTTGGCTACACATTGTGATTCGCTTCTTATTGGATTTCATTTAGGACAATGAGAGAAAGACAAAGCTCTCGTTTTAAAGTCATTTATGATGCATGATCTAATTTGCAGCTCTTGTAAAAACATTTTTAAAAAAAAACAGAGAATGAAACGTCGTTCAGGATCTCGGCATCAACAAATCCTCTGAAAAGACCACAACAAAGCAGTGTGTTGGTCCATTTCTCAAATGACTTCCTCAAGCTCATAACCTCCTAACGAGGACGTAAATCTTTTACAATCGAGTCACACATGTGTAGGTTCATCTGTTAAACAACAGCTGGTCGCTGTAGTTTTAAGCAAAAGTTAAAAGGTAAATGGTGCGTTTGCTGAGGATCATTTTTAACTGCAGCTTTTTACACGTCGGAGTCTTTACAGCAGCAGGATAGTGACTCTAAATAAAACAGCACAGGAAGCTGTGCCCCAGTGTAGCTCACTGCTGTGTTTTAACTGTTCTTTGTTCTTTTCAAGGGATTTATTACTAATAAGAAAAATATAGAAAATTGCCAGTCTTATCCTTAAACCAGTGTGTTTTCCTGGGGATTGACTTTTTAAAAATTGACAAACCGCTGCGTCCCACTTCGTCCAACAGGCCGTATATCTAGAAATCATGAGAAGAGCAAATTTGTGCATAAATAAATGTTCCCGCCCATTTTTACTGCCATTTCCACATCACCTCATATTAACTTGAACAGGTAAACCAGACATTTCTAAGAGATTAACGTTTGATGAATCACAACTTTGTTTTATGAATGTGCCACATATGCTATCTCATTCTTTTCATTTTCTCTCGTCTGTAAAAAAAACCAGAATGCACACCAGCCTTTTATATTAGATTCATAGACTGAATATAAGAGGTGGACGTATAGAGTCATTTTCTCATAGACTTCTATACATTTAGAGGAGTCGCCCCCTGATGGCCAATGGAGAGAATGCAGCTTTAACACATGAAGCATTGGCTTCACTTTGCAGTTGATTCAATGTTCTACGTTGGCTCCAATCATCAGAACAATAAGAACATTCCCTCCCTCGTGTGGCTCAAAGTCGTACTACAGATATAAATGTTAAGTAGAAGACATTGGTAGAAATTCTACTAATGTATTTGGCGACACTAACAAAATCTATGATGAGTCTTTGGGAATTAAACGAAGTTGGACTTCATGATCTGAAATGCTTCTGTCAAATGTGCTGTTCAAAAAAACTACTTCAACTACAAGCATTGGAAAAAAGGAAAGGTTTCAGACGATGAAGTTAATTTGCCTGGTCTCATCCAGCAGGTTTCTTTGTACTGTATAGAATATATAGCCACAGCCCCGTCGACAACATTTCTCAAATGCCTGAAGGCTTTTTTATTAACCAAGACTGGCACAATGCATCAGAGGAATGAGGGAGTCCAGCGCCATACGTGACAGGGACAGCTGTAAGCTCCAGCCATTGTTCCAGAAGAGAGGACTTATAGCCATGACTGAGCCTCCTCAGCCCCCCCGCCTCAGGCCAACCACACAATCCTGCTCTGTGCGTGCACACACACACACACACACACACACACACACACATACACAGATGCATTGAGAAACTGCTTACACCCAGTCAGCAGAACGCACTGCACTTCTTGCGCAAGGAAGATTTAGCCGGAAGAAAAATGGCTGCACCCTCCGCCATCCTATCCCTCTTCCTGTGTGTCCTTTGAAATGACTGCCTCAGCAGGAACCCAACAGTATGTAGGCCACTTATAGTTGAAGACCGGTGGTGAACAACAATCAACACAGCAGGCATACCTGCGGTGTCTCCTCCGTCATTTATTTAGATCTGGTTTGCATTTTGTTTTTTTAAAGGTTGTTCACAGAGGAATGTCGTTGTCTGAGGTCATGCACACCAAAGTGCGTGTGTGTGTGTGYGTGTGTGTGTGTGTGTGTGTGTGTGTGTGTGTGTGTGTGTGTGTGTGGGGTAGCTGTTGACAGCTGGTGTCTATTGACAGCTGGTGGCCAGAGTCCTCTGGTGAGTCGTATGTCTCAGTGGACAGTGGACACGTTATCTGTGATTTGAGGTGTGTAGTGGCCACTGTCTCTGGAGTTGCTCTTTAGGCTGGCAGCTCTGTGTGTGTGTGTATGTGTGTGTGTGTGTGCCCCCCCAAGCCCCGAATAAACTGCTGAGCCAATAATAGCCAGGCGGAGCGACCAGGTCGCCGTGTGACAAATCAGACACAGTGGAACAGGCTGCTTACTTCTCAGGATAGGAATGCGAGTGCAGCACCATGTGTGTGTGTGTTTGTGTGTATTTCCTACCCATGCGTCAGCCGCTGTTAAGCTGCCAGCACACACGCATACTACAAGTACTTCATCACCGTCTGTCTCACTCACTACAGATCTGGCAGCATAACCCCCGTCACTGAGCCCCGACGCCCTGCACTTGAGCCGGTAGCAGCCCCCCCCCCCCCCC